AATGAGAAGAATGTTGAATATACCAAGGATTGCTAAGAAAACAAACAGGTTCATCCTAGAGAGTATGAAACCAGGCTGCTCCTTGGAGGCAAAGATTCTGAAGTTTCATCTGACTTACTTTGGACATGTTGCACAGAGGGACCAGTCCTTGGAGAAAAATGTCATGCTTGGAAGGGTGGAGGGACAGAGCAGGAGAGGAAGACCCTCTATGAGGAGGGTTGATTCAGTGACTAGGGTAATCATAATCAGAGTGGGTGTGTCGGAGACAGTGAGGCTGGCACAGGACAGAGCAGGGTTTAGGCTGTTGTACATAGGGTCACAGGTGACTCGACAGCACATAAACAATGACAACAAACCTAATGAAGGCTCTCTGGTGGTGTGGTCCACTCAGAGTTATGTTGCTGCTAACCAAAATTCAGCACCTCCACAGTGGTGCGAATCCACCAGCTGCTCTGCAGGAGAGTGATGGGCAGCCTCTTCCCATGGCCTTTACAGCCTCTAAAAACCCACTGGAGGGTCAGCTGTGAGTTGGCTGCGTTTTGAGTTGATGCAGCCCCACATTGCCTAGTCATACGTCTCCCTTAGCTCCTCTGAGACCTGGAGCTATAGGCATCTTTCCAGTTGTTACAACACAGGCAGCGCGTATCAAATTCTTGTGCTTGAATCCAACAGTCTTTTCAACACACACCACACACTCTCCTGTGCAGCCCTTGATGTGTTCTTTGCATTTCAAGATTCTCGAATGCTTACAAACAGGCACAGTTTCGGATGAACACAAAGCTGGCATGACACCGGCTGTGTAATTATTGTTTATTATTTAAAATAGTAGTTCTCAGATGTCCTCGTAGTCCCTGATTCCGGAAGGAAGATCGGAGGAACTGACACACACACCACCGCCGCCACCGCCGCCGCCGCCCACCCCTACCCCCCCCCCGGGAGTTACCCGTTCACTGGGCTATTGTGGCTGCACTGTGGCTTATTGAAGGTGCCTGTCTCCCCCGCCCTCACCTTCCCCGCCCCCGCTTAGTCAGACAGTCTGCTTTTTAACAAGCACCTTTTGTGCTCATTCGGACCGAAAAGCCCTTCTTAGGAATTAGAGCTCACCGGTGTTTCTCAAAACTGGAAACCACTTGCTGGCTAGTCAATTCTGAGTCAGCAAACTCCGTGTGTGTCGCAGTAGAACTGTGTGTGTGAGGCTATTTACTGGCTAACTTTTCAGACGTAGGTCACCTGGACCTCTTTCTGAGGTGCCTCTGGGTGGACTTAAAAGTGTCAGCTGCTGAGTCAGCAGCTGAGCTGTTTGCAATGTTCAGGGACTCAGAAATAGTGTTGTTATCAGGCACCATCCTCCTGCCCCAGCTCCTGCGCCGTCCTTACAGTCTCTCTGCTGAAGCGCGTTGCTGCAGTCAGGGCTCAGGCCATCTCATGAGGGTCTTCCTCTTCTTTGCTGACCATCTATGTTTCCAAGATGTCCTTCACCAGAGCACCTCAATTCCAGATTTGTCCTGTTGTTGTTGTTGCTAGGTGCCATCAAGTCAAGTACAACCCATAACAACCCTATGAACAGCAGACCTGAACTGTGTCCTGTTCTGTGCCATCCTCACACTTTCTGACACATTAAGACCCATTGCAGCAGTAACTGTGTCAATCTACACGGTTCAGGGCCTTTTTTTCTTTCTCCGACCCTCCACCTTTCCAAGCATGATGTCCCCTCTCCAAGGAATAGACCCTCTTAGCAACATGCCCGAAGTATGTGAGACAAAGTTTTATCATCTTTACCTCCGAGAAGCACTCTGTTGGAACTTTCTCCAAGACATATTTGTTCTTTTGGCCGTCCATGGAATGTTCGGTGTTCTTCTCCAGCACCACAACTCAAAGGTATCAGTTCTTCTCCTGTCAGGCCTATTCATTGTCCAGCTCTCAGGTGTATAGCAAGTAATCAGAAAGACCATGGCCTGAATCAGGTGTTCCTTAGTCCTAAAAGTGACATCATTGCTCCTCAATAATTTGGAGAGGTCCCTGACTGCAGACTTTGCCAGTGCAATACCATCTCTTGATTTCCTGACTGTTGGTACCAAGGGTATTGTAATAATTGGAGAAATTCAATTCCAAAATGGGCCTTATGAAAACATGGATTTCTCATAATCAATTGAGAAAGATTTATTATAGCCATTTAAATGCCTGATGTGTATTTTAAATGTTAAAGCATCCAGGAAGATAGTATCATTTGACCCTCTGTCTAAAGGTAAGAAAGAACTGACATCTCAAGTTTTGTTAAGTTGTGCAGACTCTGAACTCTAGTGTTTCTGTTGCCCCTGAAATAAGAGATCCATATTTGTCCCCATTCCCAAGTAAGAGGATCCAAAAGAATGTGGAAATTATCAAACAATAACATTAATATTTCATACATGCAAAATATTTTTGAAGATAATTCAAAAATGACTAGAACAGTACATTGGCAGGGAAATACTAGCAGTATAAGCTGGTTTTAGAAGAGGCCATGGCATTAGGGATATCATTGCTGATTTCAGGTTAATCAATGGATCCTGGTTGAAAGCAGAGAATACCAGAAGGATATCTATTGTGTTTTATTGACTATGCAAAGGCATTTGACTGTGTGGATCATAACAAATTATGGCTAACATTGAGACAGATGGGAATCCCAGAACACTTACTTGTGCTCATACAGAATCTATACCTAGATCAAGAAGCTGTAATGTGAACAGAGCAAGGGAACACTGCATGGCTTAACCTCAGGAAAGGGGGGGGGGTGTCAGAGTTTGGGGTTTTTTTACATACCTGTTCAATCTGTATACTGAGCAAATAATTCACAAAGCTGAACTCTATGAAGAGGAGTATGGCGTCAGGTTTGGATGAAGAATCATCAACAACCTGCATTATGCAGGTTGACACTGTATCTGCATTATGCAGATGACACAACTTCACTTGCTGAAACTGAAGAGGATATGAAACACTTGCTGCTGATGATCAAGGATTACAGCCTTTGGTATAGATCACATCTCAACATCAAGAAGACAAAGACTCTCTTCACAAGCCCAACAGCCAACATTATGGTAGATGGAGAAAAGATTGAAGCTGTCATCTTGCTTGGATTGACAATCAACAGCCTTGGTACCAGCAGTCAGGAGATCAGGAGACACATTGCATTGGGCAAGTCTGCTATCAGGGACCTCTTCAAAATGCTGAAGGCTTCTCCAAATGCCAAAACGTATCAGTTTGAAGACTGAGGTGTGCTTGATTCGAGCCATGGTCTTCTCAATCACCTGCTATGCTAGATAGTGAAAAAGAATGACAGAAGAAGAGTCGTGGTGCTGAAGAAGAGTGTTGAGTAGCCCATGGGCTGCCAAAAGGACAAGCAGATATGGCTTGGAAAAGGTGTGGCCAAAGTGACCCTTAAAGGAAAAAATGACAAAGCTTCATCTTTCGTACTGTGGAAATATAGCTAGGCGAGGCTGTCCCTTGGAGAGGAAGGATGCTCAGAAGGATGGAGGGTCAGTGAGGGAGAGGAAGACCCCTAACAAGATAGAATGACACAATGACTTCAGCATTGGTGTCTAGTATATCAAGGATGCTGAGGCTGGCACAGGATAGGGCAGGGTTCAGGGTTGACTGTTCATAGGGTCTCTATGAATCATAGTTGATGACACCTAACAGCAATAACAACAGTAAACTACATGAGCAGAGCCCTAGTGGCCTAGTGGTAAGAAGCTCTGCTGCAGTCCCAAAGGCACACAGTTAGAATCCACCAGCTGCTTCACAGAAGGATAAGTAATCTCTCATATGATTAAACTGCCTCTGAAAACGTGCTAGAGGGTCAACAGCAATATAATACATGGAGCTCTGGTGGCTTAGTGGTAAGGAATTGTGCTGCCAATACAAAGGTACATGGTTCAAATCCACCAGGTGCTCTTTGGGGGAAAAGATGGGCATTTTTCTCCCATGTCATTTACAACCTTTGAAAACCCATTACAGGGTCGACTATGAGTCGGTTCCGACTTGACAGTACACAACAACATACACGTAGCTTCTCTGATTCTAACTTCTTCAGTGAGGAGGAAATAATAGGTCTGACATCCATACCTCATGCGTACTTTGAAGAATGCTTGAGATCAGTTTTAGAAAACTTTCTGATTTTATATTGTTGTTCATTGCCTTCGAGTTGAGCACAACTCATAGCAGCCCTATGAACAAAAGGTGAAAGACGTCTTATGCCCCTCTACAGCTATCGATATTTATCAAAGTTCATAGTTTCTGGAGGCCTGTGGTTTTGGAAGTGGATGCCACTCCTGCTTCCAAACCTGTCATAGAATGTTATTGTTGTTATGTGCCATTAAGCCGCTTGCGATGTATAGCGACCCTATGTAGAGTAGCTCTGAACCTTTCCCTGTCCTGAGCCAGTCTCACTAATTCCAACACACCAACCCCCACTGCCCCAATTACTCTATCAATCCATTTCATCCGGGGTCTCCCTCTCCTGCACTGTCCGTCCACCCTTCCAAGCATTATGTCCTTCTCCAAGGACCCATCTTCCTTGGCCACATGCCCAAAATGAGGTGGAGCTTCAAAATCCTAGCCTCCAAGGAGAGACTTGATGTCACCCTCTCCAAGACAAAGCTATTTGATTATAAATTAAGATGCTGAATTTAGGTGAGCTCTGGTGGCCTGGTGGCAGGAAGCTGCACTGCAATCTCAGAGGTACACGGTTCAAATCCACCAGATGCTCTGCTGGAGAAGGAGGAACGGTCTTCTCCTGTATCAGTCAGATCTGATTTGACAGTACACACAAAAGATAATGAAATAAAATTTTAAAAATTAAAAAAAAGATGCTGAATTTAATGTCTGGGGCACTGGGGATCCTGGGAGATCTAAAAGAGAAGAGAATAACTAGGTGTGGGGGTAGTTTTTGTACACAGAACCTACTGACAGGTTCCTGATTTCTGCCTGACATTCCAATCTACTTCTTTATTTTACAGACATCCGCTTTTGTCACCATGCTCTCATCTGGTGACTTTGCTTCTGCATCCTGGGAGCTCGTGGTCCGTGTGGACCATCCAAATGAAGAGGAGCAGCGAGACATCACCCTGAGGGTGTCCGGAGACCTGCATGTCGGGGGAGTGATGCTCAAGTTAGTAGAACAGATCAGTAAGTTACTCTTTCCTTACAGTTTCTCTGTATACAACAACCTCTCCAATGCATCGCCATTGATTCATTGCTCTAAACCCAAGACCCTTTACCACTGAGTGTCTTGGGACTCGCGGTGACCCTCCATTGGGTTTCTGAGATTGTAAATCTTTATGGGAGAAAGCGGTTCCTCTTTCTTCCAGGGAGCAGCTGAAGGATTCAAACCACCAAACTTTGGTTAGCAGCTGACACATGACATGTTGTACCAGCAGAGCTCCTTAACTCAGTGATCTAGGTTGATCCGAGAGCCTCCAAAAGTGGGCAAACCCATCTTTCTTAGAGTGGCCTCTGTCATCTTCCCTGGTGAATGCAGAGCTCACATTGTCTCCAAACCTTGCTTATACTCAATTCTATTTAAGATTCAACCTCGTCAGTGTCCTCTCTTTAAAAAAAAACAAAACAACAACTTGATTGGTTTGTCTTTTTAAATCCTGTAATCAACCATTAAAAAATCCTTAGGGATCTCAGGTCTACTCTACAGAACATACTGGCCAGAACCTAATAGTTTTATTTGAGTAAAACAAACATGTAGAAAAACATGCTTGTCCTAAATATATTCATTGTTATATGCTGTCAATTCAGAACTAATCCACAGCTGACCCTCCAGTGATTTTTCAGAGACAGTAAATCACAGGGGAGGAGATTGCCTGTCCTTCTCTCACAGAGCAGCTGGTGAATTTGAACGGTGTGCCTTTGAGATTACAGTACAGCTTCTTACCACAAGGCCACCAGAGCTGCCAAGTATACAGTTGAATGAACTTCATAGTCACATGACCACCACCCACTTCAGGAAACTGAGCATTACTAGCAACCCCCACCAGGCTCCACTTCTTTCTTTTTTCCCCCCAATAATTATTTTTGTATTAATAAAAGTTTATAGAGACTTTGGATTTCCATTCATTCATTGTTCTGTATATTCCTCCCTGCCAACCCCTCCCCCAAGCTCACTTCTCTCTTTGAAAAGTAAAAAAATAAATAATAATAATAATAAATTTTTTCATTGGACCAAGAAGCAGTTGTCAGAACAGAGCAGGGTAACACTGCATGGTTCAAAATTGGGAAGGGTGTATGCCAGGGATGTGTCTTTTCTCCATACCTTTTCAACCTGTATGCAGAGCAGATTATCCGGGAGGCTGGACTCTATGAAGAGAATTGTGGAGTCAGGATTGGTGGAAGATCTAGTAACAATCTGCGTTATGCAGATGACACAACCCTGCTTGCTGAAACTGAGGAGGACCTCATGCACTTGGCTGCAGAGGGTCATGGACGGCAGCCTCCAATATGGATTGAGGCTCAATGTCAAGAATACAAAGATTCTCACCACTGGATCAATTGACAGCATCAGGATGGATGGTAAAGAGATTGAGATTGTTCACAGCTTTAGTTTGCTCGGCTCCACGGTCAACACCCTTGGCACCAGCAGCCAGGAAATCAAAAAACATATTGTGATGGAAAAATCTGCTGTTAATGACCTCTCTAAAGTACTCAAGAGCAACGGTGTCTCTCTGGAGACTAAGGTGCACCTGATACAGGCCATGGTCTTTGCAAATCACTTGTTATGCATCAGAAAGTTGGACAATGACTAGGGAGGACAGAAGGAGAATGTATGCCTTTGAGCTGTGGTGCTGGAGAAGAGTATTGAATGTACCATGGACTGCCAGGAAAACAAACAGATTCATCCTGGAGAGGGTTAAACCAAGCTACTCCTTGGAGGCAAGGATTCTGGGGCTTCGTCTGACATACTTTGGACATGTTGCCAGGAGGGACGGGTCCTTGGAGAGGGACATCATGCTTGGGAGGGTGTAGGGACAGCGCAGGAGGGGAAGACCCTCTATGAGATGGATTGATTCGGTGACTGGGGTAATCGGGATGGGTGTGTCAGAGGCAGTACAATTGGCACAGAATAGAGCAGGGTTTAGGGCTGTTATACATAGGGTCACTGTGAGTCGCAAATGACTCGACAGCACATAACAACAACAACATAACAGTTGTAGGTTTTTCAAGATGCTTGGAAGACTCTTTCTATTGTGGATTAGGATTTCTAGAGTTCTTCCAAGCTTTTCTCTAATGAAGTTTATAGTCCTTGGTTTTAGTCCTAGGTCCTTGGTCCTCTTTGAGTTGGTTTTTGTGTATATAGTAAGGTGTGGATCTTGCTTGAGTCTTCTTTTATTTTTTTTTTCAGTCAAATTCCCCTTCCTCCTCCAGCTTTATTGAGTAGTTAAAAATTACATTTCTATTTTCTAAGACTTCAGTTCCTTTTTCCATCTGACTTTTTTTTCTTTTTATACTTTTTATTGTTATTTGTGTAGAAGTTTACACAGCAAATTTGACATTTGACAATTTACACATGGTTTTTTTTTATTACACTGAAGGCAGTCCCTACCATAAAACATTACTCTTTCCACTTTTTTTTTCCAATGAAGTGTTCATACCTCTCTAGTGTCTTCACGACACACCCATAGAAGCTTATAGTAAGGATGTCTCTATTCTTTTTTCTTTTATTATTATTGTTTCTATTGTTGTTGTTGTTGTGTTATGTGCCATCGAATCGCTTGCGACTCATAGTGACCCTAAACTGTGCTCTGTCCTGTGCCAATTGCACTGTCTCCGACACACCCATCCTGATTACCCCAGTCACTGAATCAATCTACCTTGTAGACAGCCTTCCCCTCCTGCACTGTCCCTCCACCCTCCCAAGCATGATGTCCCTCTCCAAGGACTAGTGCCTCCTTACAACATGTCCAAAGTATGTTAGACAGAGCGTCAGAATCCTTGCCTCCAGGGAGCCACCCGGTTTAACCCTTTTCAGAATGAATCTGTTTGTTTTCCTAGCAGTCTATGATACCCTCAATACTCTTCTCCAGCACCACAGCTCAAAGGCATCAATTCTCCTTCTATCCTCCTTAGTCATTGTCCAACTCTCTGATGCATAACAAGTGATTGCAAAGACCATGGCCTGTATTAGGTGCACCTTAGTCTCCAGAGAGACACCATTGCTCTTCAGTACTTTAGAGAGGTCCCTAACAGCAGATTTTCCCATGGCAATACGTCTTTCAATTTCCTGGCTACTGGTGCCAAGAGTGTTGACTGTGGAGCCGAGCAAACTGAAGCTGTGAACACGCTCAATCTCTTCGTCATCCATCCTGATGAATATATATATATATATATAGTTAGTTAGTATGCAAAAATAATATCTTGTTTTCTGTGAATATGTATTTCTCTGCAATTCCTGAATAGCTCCAAATTATGCTAATTCTGAGCAGCGATATTTATTCTGGGTTTTAGTCTTTGAAAAAAATGTTCTAAACCTTTGCCATCACCATGTGTACATCCAGCATCAACTCTGGGATGAAGATGTTCCTGCTTAGACTTTTATTTTGGTTTCTCTCTCCGTAGTCATTAGTGTGCATGTTTGTCTTAATTTACTCCCACTCAGCTGTATGTTTTATGTAGGGACTGATAACAGATGTTACTTGATGTCACTTAATAGCTACTGAGGTCAGACAATCCAAGGCCACCATTGTGCTAAAATTAAAGTTACTTACAGAAGTTCATAAATTTCCAAATTGTTTTTATGTCCTACATGGAAACATTTCAAGAAACCCAGAGTGGGCGTACAGGTCTGACTCAACTCTTCCAACTTGCTCAACCCTATTCACCAGTGGCACGGAAAGGGGGTTCTTTAACAAAGCATAGTACATAACACCTCTACCAAACTAAACATAAGCTCTTTTTCTTATGTAGTTAAATGTAGAAAGCTGGGGATTTTTCCACCCCTTTCCTCCTTTTATACAGCATATAAAGCTCACTGGCCTGGGAGTAGCCTCTATCTGCCAACCTTTGGCCAGTGAAGAGTATTCAGAGAAAAGAATAAAACCATCAGTCAGGAAAAGGAAGGGACGGCAAAGGAGAATAATGAAGATGTAGCCTCAATTGTGCATCCCGTGCAAGGGGCCCTGACTCTCCACAGCGGTAACAGTTGACTTCACTGGTCTTGCTGCAGTTGATGGCGACATGACCAGTTTCACCACGCTTGTAACACTTCTCTTTGGTGCAGTCTTTTTGAATGTGTCCAAATTCTCCACAAGAATAGCACTTCTGCGCATCAGCATGGTCCCAGTCACGAGCCAGAGGGCCTGATTTGCCACAGTTGGAGCAGCACTACTCTCGCTCTCTCTTGGGCTCCTTGCAGTCCTTGGCATTGTGACCCCCTTTACCGCAGTTATAGCAGGCATCCTCCCTGATGATCACAATCCTTAGAAGGCTCACCACAGCGGCAACAGATGTCTGGAAGAGATGAGGAAACAAACTGGAAACCTCTATTGGCGGTAAAACCACCTCTGCCACGGCTTCTCATTCCACAACCCCGGCCTCCTCCAGCAGGGCATTCCCAGGCCCAGTGGCCAGACTGCCCACACTTAAAGCACTCATTGCTACTCATGGCTGTAGTTAGGTCTTCTCCATCGCCTTGGGGAGCCCAGAGAGACAAAGAATAGGACGCAGTCCAGGGGAAGGCAGCTCACAAGACAGCGGCTGTTATCTTCAGGGTCACTACCTGCGCCACATAAGCGTCTGCACCCTTGCTTGAGTTTTCTACAGAGAGTTTTCCAATTTTGCCAACACCCTTTGTTTAAAAGGCTGCCATTTCCCCACTTAACTGATTTCATCTCCTGGTCAAAAATCAATTGACCATAGGTAGTTGGGCTGATTCCTGGATTCTCAATTTTATTCCATTAATCTGTGTGTCTGTCATTGTACCAGTACCACACTGTCTTTTTTCCCCCCATAATCAAAACTTTATTGAAAAAACTGACACCAAAAGAAGTGACACATACTTTACCAAAAACTGAAATGTTATTATATGATCATGATGGATTAACCAGAATTACTGATTGGTAAGGCTTTCTGTGACCGAAGAGAAATTCAGGAAGTCATAGAGAGCATTAGTGTTGTTTTCTTCT